TTGAAGGGCCGAGTGATCAGTACACCAGTCTTGCTCTGGAAAGTTCTTACAGATCCTGCAGCACTGTGAATCTCATACTAGTAGATTATTCTTAATATTTTAGCAGCTTGAAATGTCCTATAAGTGGAAAAGCATGTCTTTAAAGCATACATCTAGATACCCTTCCCTAGGTTAAGAACAAGAACAGTGCCCTTGAAGATGTGGACTCTTCTTCGGTCCACTCCATCTCCCCAGCAACCCCAGGGCAAGCTCCCGGTGTTGGGTGAGTTGTTCCACTGGGCTTGCTCCCCTGGCCTTCTCCCCAGGGTGCTGGTCCCTCCTTGACCTGCGACTGCAGTGCCAGTTGCATATGCTCCCGTGGTCACGTAATTTAATTAAATGTTATTGAATCTAATGCAAAATAAGTGTATAACAAAAATGGTGTTTCTGTGAAAACAAGGTTAAATGCTTTGGAAAGACTCAAAGGAAAATTGCTGAGAAGTTGGTGGTGAATGAAGCAAATTGACTGTAAAAGATTGAGAGGAAGGGTGTAAAGTGTAGGGTGGTTGGCGGTGTCCACTTTAAAGAAACAAAGCTAGAAATCACAAATTATGTGTTGTGGGTGTGATTTATGCAAAATGTCTAAAATGAAGCTCCTTTAAATTTAGGTGCAATTAGTGGACTTATGTTTAAAGAAGAAATTTGCAACTTGAGAGATAATTGTGTATTTTTATTGTTTTTTGTTGAAATGTTTGAGAGACACGTATCGTGTGACTCCCCTCTTAACCAGCTACTGGCGTCATCATTTGGCAGTCTTGTTTATATCAGACAGGAATCCTTTCACCCATGTTTATTGCCCCATTTACAAGGCAAATTATTTGTGTCATACATAGCTGAACATCATTTAGCAATGATTTGACTTTTTTGTTATGAGTGGTTATATATAGCTAGATTTTTGTGCATTAATTTGTCATGGGAATAATTTTCTTTTTATAAAATTTTTTTATAATACCTGGTTCTGCAGTATAAGGTTGCAGTACCAACTTCAAGCAATTGTTTTTATTAAAGAGCTATTGTATTTCCTTGGCACAGAGTAGTTAACAATTCTAAAGGTATCCAGAGAGCTAAACCCTGCAAGCCCTTCTTCTCCTGCCCCCCAGGAAGCCACTCTTACTTTCTTTCTTATCTTTCAGGTGTCTTTAATGCACATACAAGCCAATACTGGAATACAGTTTTTCTTTTATACAAATAGCATAGTATACCCACATTCTGCTTCTTGTATTTTTATTTAGCATGTATTTTTGGAGCTCTTTCATATTAATATATAAAAAGATTCCATGTTCTTTTCTCTTGATTTTGTTCAGGTTCCGTTGTATGAATGGACTGTAATTTAGGTCACCAGGAACACAGAGTTTGTGACTCAATGGACTGAGTTCAGATCCAGCTGGCTTATAGTGTTCTAGAAAGATAGCGTGGTTATTCCTTCCTTTGACTCATAATTTTTGAAGCCTATGATCGTGCCAGGGGGGAAAAAACAGAACAAAATATAAAATGTATGCAGCCTTTATGGAGCTTTCATTGCAATTTATGGAGAAAGATGGTGGCTATTTTAATAGGTGGCAGGTAGCCTGTAAGGGTGAGATTTATGCTGTGAAGGGGAGGAATGCAGGATGGGTGGTGTGGAGAGTGAGTCTGGCTGATGGGAAGGTTACTTTTTAAACAGGAGATCAGGGCAGGTCCATCTGAAAGCACACAACTCAAGATGGGCGAGGCAGGGAGCCACTGCAGATGTGGGGGACAGGACATTCTGGAAGAGATTGTGCAATGGACCTGTGGTAGGAATGTGGCTGCAGCTGAGGGCTTTTACAAGGTAGTAAATCTGAAAAGCATCTGCCTTCTCATCCTGTCCTCGGCAGGCTGTCTGTGTGATGGCCCTTGATGGGGGCCTGTTGGAGCTTTGCTGCTATGGGGCTGCTGACCTGTGTGGCCTGAGAGAGGCGTGGCAGGTCCTCTGCCAGAGGCAGCATTAGTCTGTTTCTGCTCCCTAGGAAAAGAAAGGAAATGAGCAGCTTTGTGGGAGATGTGTGAGTTGCATTGTCATGGTTAATCTGCATTGTCCATTTGATTGGCTTGAGGGATGCCTAAGAGGTTAGTAAAGCACATATGGGGGTGTGACACGGGGGCGGGGGACTGGGCTTGGTCCCTTGCTCCTTCTTTGGCTTTTTCCCATTTTCTCTGCTTCCTGGCAGCCATGAGTTGAGCAACTTTCTTCCCTCATACTTGGAGCCAGCTAGATTGAAGCCATGGATTGAAGCCTCTGAAACTGAACCAAAATAAATCTCTCTTCCTTTAAGTTGTACATGTTGGGGATTTTGGTCATAGCAACAAAAAGTGACAAAAAACTAATGCATGCATTGCCTACTCTGTGGCTCGGAAGTCACAGAGCAGCTGGAGCCCTGATGGTAAGGTGGCTTTATACCCCTCACAAGTCCTCCGAAGCCTGGTGGCCATGGCCTCAGGACTGGAAAATCTGACGTCCCTCCTGGTAGCCTCAGAGTTGGGGACAGCCGGCCCAGCCTTCCCAGGGAGCCCTTCCAGCGGGTGAAAGGTGAGGTTTATGTGCAATGTGGACTTAGTCCCTTCTCTCCAAGAAGGCAGCAGCCACTTTTTCCCTGCCCTGGGCACTGCACACAGGCTGTATCACCCTCCTAACACACCTGTGTGTTGGCACTGGAAGTGTCGGGGCTGCCCTGTGGCTTGTCCTGTGAGTGCCTGTCACTCTCCTTCCTATCTGATGTTTTCTCTTCCTGTCACAGTGTCCTTTTGGCAAAGTCGAAAAGCCCATCGTTGTGTCCCCCTCCCAGTCAGGCCCTGGCTGAATCTCAGCCCCAGTAGTTTGGACTGGAGCTGGAGGCCCTGGAGTTGCTGTTCTCTGGAACAAACAGCTCCCTGGAAGAGAGTGCCAGGCTTCTGTTAACTGCTGGTATGGCTGTCGCTGTCTCATTCATTTTAGACCCTGGTATCCCCTAGATCTGGTGTCTTTCAGGCTTGGTGAAACTGGCACTTAGGGCTGACAAGAGCCATGGTATCTGCTATTAGAACCTCAAAATAGCTGTGGCTGGGCTGGAACTGCCTCTGCCTCAGAAATAAATCGGTGGGCTTGATCCCCACAACCCGCTGCTATTCTGCACACAGCTGAGTTTGAGTCAAAATTCAGCTGCAGATGGAACAAAAAGCCTTTTTCCCTGAAAGCCCCCAGTTAGAATGTGAAAGCCTTTGCAGCTGAAGCCAGAGTTTTCTACAGCAGCTGTCACAGCTTGGGCTGCAGTTGGAACTGTCACTTTCCTGTCATTTCTGTGTTGGAGGCTCCCGAGGCCCCGAATGCCTCTCACTTTGTAGTAGTGAAATTTAAGTTTCAGAATGGACTGTTGGTGTTATTTTTAGGCCGTGATGGCACTTGGCATGACTCCTTCTAGTTACAAGCACTTAGCTAATCCCCAGAGTGCCCTGGGTAAGCATCTCTGAGTAGCTTTAACCACACACAGGTCAGGAGGCTTCTGGAAAACAAACACTTCTCCTGCCATTTGGAAGATGTGGGCCTCTGGTCTCTGGTTGGAGATGTAGGGAAGGCTGTGGCTGCACGCTGATCTGCCCTGATTCTGCAGCTCACCAGGGCTCTCCTTCCCATGTGCAGCTCAGGATGGGCAGCAGGAGCCTGAGCTCTGCACCTCTCCCTGAAGGATTAAGCCAGGCTCCTGGACTCCGGGGCTCCTCCCTTCGTACATGTCCTTTGCCCTGCATCCAGTGCCCAGGCGTGTGCCAGAATGAGCATGTGTGGCAGGTGCCTCCTCCCACCAAGCTTCCTGCTCCTTAGTTGGGCACTTGGGCACCTTTCTCACCCTGCTAGCTTGCTGTGTTTTTGTATTTTTTCTTTAATTTTTTTTTCTTTTATTTTCTGCTTTCTACATGTAATATATGAATTTCCATTGTAAGAAGTGCGCATGACATACATGAAGATCCCCTGATTCCCACCACTAATCTCAACTCTGACATGGATGTGCCCTCTGAGATAGATTTGGGGTGAATCCCAGAGTTAGTGTTCCCTCTTGAACAGTGTCTTGCACGCTGACAGTAACAGTGCAAGAGCAAATGGGGTGTGGGGGCCAGCAACACTTGCCTGGTGGCTCAGTGTGGCAGCCTGCTTGTAGGGAGCAGCTGGAGGCACAGCCTTCAGGACCAGTGCAGGAAGCCGTGTCAGCTGTTCAGGGAATCAGTAGCAGCTCTGGGCTGTTGACACACATGGCCCACGCCTGTCTCTGTGCACTACTGTGCTCCCGTGCTGATGGGTGGTGAGGAGAGTCAGTGCGTCCTCGGGCCCTGCACCCACATTAGTGTCTGGGAATGTCCACTGTAAAGTCTCAAGAAATCCTGGCTGTGTGCTCTGCTGCAGTGCTGGTGACAAGATGTGGACTGTGTTGGGTCTCACTGTGTCCATGGATAGCTAGGACTTTGTGCAGCTGTGCAGTGTCTGTCAGTTTCACCTTCCTCAGCGAAGGATGGAACCAGTGAAGATCAGGGCTGCTGAGTGCTAGTGGAACAGTTTTCAATGCTAGGGAGCGGCATGTGTGTGAGGAATTGCGTTCCTGCTCTGCCCTCTGTTGCCGCACATGCTGTTGGGGAAGTGAGGAGAGGAGCTAGGTCCTGCCAAGTGTGGTCTTGGTGCTAGGCACTAGGTGGTGTTTTGCACCTATCATTTCCTTGGCACAGTGACACTGTATGTTATGTGTCATCCCTGTTTTTACCAGCGGGATAAAGTGAAGGCTTCTGAGAGCAGATAGCCCATGTTACATGCCTGGTGCCAGGCTGCAGTTGGACTCAGGCTGTGGCAAGTACTCACAGAGTGGACCCATCCTAGTCTGAATCATCAGTGGCTGGTGTGGGTCCTGGGCCTGTATATTGTGTGCAGGCCTAAGTTTGCTCCTGGCACAGCTAGAACTGAGCGTGTCTTCTTTATCCCACAGGACCCCTGAAGACCTTTCCAGATTCATTGTTGAGCTGCAACAGCGAGAGCTGGCCCTGAAGGAGAAGAACAGCGCCATTACCAGCAGGTAGGCTGGCCGAGTGCTTATGGGCACACACTTACTCAGGGCACTTAGGATAGGGCAGACTGGTGCCTTCCTGGACCATGCAATGTATTAGTCTGCTTTTCATTGCTATAGTGAAGTACCTGAGGCCGAGTACTTTTTAAAGAAAAGAGGTTTTTTTTAGCTCATCGTTTTGGAGATTGAAGGGCACAGTGCCAACATGTACTTGGCTCTGGTGAGGAGCTTGTGGCAGGTGGCAGGGCTTGTTGGCACCTAGGGAAAGGGAGGGACCGAGTGTCTTCTTTTCACAGCAGCTCTCACAAGTGCTAACCAAGGGGCCTGATAGTTGCCTCTGTCCCTTCTGGGGACAGTATCCTCCATGACCTGTGAACCTTCCACTAGGCCCTACTTCCTAGCACTGCATGCTGAGGACCCCTGGGACTCACACATGTGAAAACTGTACTCCTTGGGAATGGCCCTGGGGTCTGCCTTTGTCAAGATGGTGGGAGCTGGTGGTTGGGGAGGGACATTGCTCAGTATTCCTGCTGTGTTGTGGTAAGACTCAGCTTAGGCACCGTGGTAATTGTGACACTGTGTGCTGAGTCACCGCTGGGTCGTTAGTGATTAGCTTGCTGGCTAGTGTTCTGTCAGAATCTGGAGTGTTCCTATCTTTGCAACAGCCTGTGGCGTTCATCAAGTGTAGCAACTCAACCCTGGGGGTGCAGGTATATGTGCCAACTTGTGTCCTCATGAAGGCCTGCAGAGAGTGTTCAGCCTCCTGATGCCCTTGATGTGTGTGACAGGCACCTCACCCAGCTGGCTTGAGCTGTGTCCTCAGCTTACCTGAGAGGGTCAATGGCAAGGCTTTTCCAGGGTATGGTGTCAGGGTTTCTTCTTGACACTGCATGTGTGGTATCTTTTCCACCTTGTCTTCTCCAGCTCTGACACCCTTTGGATATCTTAGGATTTTGTTCAATTCAATTCTGACACTGGGGGCTGGGGATTTAGCTCAGCGGCAAAGCGCCTGCCTGGCAAGCGCAAGGTCGTGAGTTCGGTTCCCGGTACCGGAGAAAAACCAAAAAAACAAAAACAAACAAACAAACAAACAAAAAAAAACAATTCTGACACTGCCTGGCATGAGCAGGTGCCAGGGCTCAGTCCCTCAAGACCAGCCCCTCTTGGATGCCAGTACCAAGTATCAGATCCTCAGGATACCCACAGTTTTTTCCAACTCCAAATTCAAGACACCCCATGTATCCCTTGTCAAATCTGATGACGTCCTGTACCCAGGCAGGTGACTTACGATTCCTGATATGTTGTGAAAGATCTGACTCAGGAGGGGCTAAATGGGAGGGTGCACAGCGATGAGGGCATAGTGCTTCTTGCCTTGTCCATGTGGGCCTCGTCTAGCCCTCCCTGTGATCTTCAACCTGCCGCTCCAGAGTCTTGTTTAGGGATTTTCACAATCCAGTCTCCAGCCCCCGGTTTGGTAAGTAAGGCTGAGAGTTCCTACCCTCTGTGAACTTGGGTGTTATGGTGACCAGCCCCCATTGTGAGCTCTGCAGGGACCTGTCCTAGGCCACCTTGTTAGCACAAACCAGGTACGCTCTAAAGGAGCTCATTATGCATGACAAAAGGCACTTCTGTCACCTGGGAGATGTTAAAGATTCCACCAGGAACACGGACACAAGTTTGTGCTCTCTTTATGAGCCTAACCTCTTGTCTGCTTGCCCCTCAGCTGACTGCTCAGACTGGTTTCTCCCATGCTTTCATGGTGCTGCCCAGGCTTAGGTGTCATGTCCACAGGCAGAATGGAGAGGGTTCTTTTCTGCAACAAGGAAACATCTTCTAGGATCCCCCGCCACCCAAAGGTCTTCCCTAAAACAGGGCCATGTACTTGCCTGCCCCAGAGCAGTTATTGACAGAGCAGATGGGGTTGCAGTGATAAGCTTCAGGTAGTCTGATTCATGCTTGAGTCACCTGTGGTGGGGGACTGCTGTGTGGCTTGGTCTCTGGAGGCGAGCAGGGCCACAGGGAGAGGCCGTGTGCCAGTGACATGGCTGGATGGGCTGGTCTCTGAGGCGCTTCTGGAGCCAGCCTGTTTGCTGTTGGTTATCAAGCTGCAGGCTCATCCTCCCATGGAGAGAGCATTTTAATAATTTATTAATAGCCAGAAGGAAGGGTTTCTTATTTTGGGGGCTGATGTCACTTTGAAAATCGGATTTTAGAAGCAGCTGGTTGTGTTGGACATAATCACATCAATTTACTTTATAAAGCTCAAATGATAAAGATTGCCTTTTGCTTTCAAAGCCACTGTCAGATGAAACGGGCATGAAAAGTGATTTGGAATTAAAGCTTTAACATTTTGCTGGGTGATCCTCTTCATTTTACTTTGACTATGAAAGAGAATGAGCTATCAATGGAAAAGAACCTCGTCTGCATCTTTCTTCCCCTAAACAGTGAGGCATTTTCTGCATTTATCTGCTTTGACCTGTACTGGCAACCCTAGTCTCTAACCTGAGAGCCACAAGGGAGGGGCTGCTCTGCAGCTCAGCTTGTGGCTGCAAGATTGGACTGAACCAGCCTTTTTCTTTTGGGTCAGTTTTGAATGGAGTCTCAGGGAGCTGCCTGTGCATGGGTGATCTGTGACACTAGGCCCACCTTTCAGGACCCCTGGGCTCCTCTGAGAGTCCATGCAGCTACCTTCGGTGAAAGGCAAGTTCCAGGGTATTCTGTGGGAGTGGCTGGTGGGTGCTTGATACTTTTGTGCAGATGAAGCACGTGTTTTAATTACTTTCCATCAGTGGGACAAAGTATCCAGCACCACACCTCAAAGGAGGTTTTTTTTTGTCCCACACTTTTAGAGGGTTCAGTCCACAATCTACTGACTCCAGGGCGGAAACGGCATGGTAGAAGGGCATGGTGAGGGGAAATGGCTCAACCCATGGTGCTGGGAAGCAGAGAGAAAGAGAAAAGAGGGGAGGAGCTGGGGACAAGAAGATAGCCTTCCAGGTCATGGCCTGGGCCCTACCTCCTAGCAGCATATTCATCCATGAACTCATCAGTGCATTCACTAATGAGCCTAGCGCCCCCATGATCCCCTCACCTTTCAGAAGTCCCACCTGTGAGCTTAGGACCACCATGCTTCTTTCTGTGGGGTGTTCTGTAGTCCCTAATGAGCTGTCCTGTGACCCTGTCACACAGGTGGTCTTGTCCTGTGGGCTTAGCGGTTGGTGCCATCTTCTCTACTGATGGCTGGCCCCTGTCATCCTGGAAGTGTTTGTGTGCTGTTGCACAGCTGCCCTGTACTTCACAAGCCCGTTGCCTGGTGCTTTTCTTCGATGGTATTTTGCTGTTTTAAACAAAGATATGGTAGACTTTCTGCACCAAGGTCCTTGAACACTGAATTCTGAGGGTGAATTCTGCAGTGGTGTCCATGTGTCTAAGAAGTTGGCCTTCAGAGCAGCAGTGCCCAACCTTTTTGGCACCAGAGACTGGTTTCATGGAAGACAGTTTTTCTACCTGCCTGGTTTGTAACTGGTCCAGGGGTTGGGGTTACCTGTTTTAAAAGGATGAGGGGGTGTATCCCCTAGGGTATAGCTCCTCCCTGAGCAGCAGAGACAGCACTGGTCTCAAACTTCCTCACGTGGGTGTCACAGTTCCCCGCTTTGCCCATGTGATGGGCAGAATGCCTGTGTCTTCCTGCTCACCGTATCCGTAATGTGGTGTCTGCCACCCACGAAGGCAGAAACCAGAGAATGAGTTGCATGGATCAGCCTCCTCCTTGGCATTTCCCCTGTGTTCTGTAGCCTGGTTTCTGTGGTCTCTCGGTGGTTACTGCAGTAGCTCTGGCCCATGTCCAGCTGATTGCTACTTTCCACAGGCAGGATTCTGAGTGAGGGGAGATGCTTCCTAAGGGCCATAAGGAGAAAGTACTTTCTGCCATTGAGCTATTTTACCCTGTGTTACTTGGTTAAGCATGGTTCTCGATTCCATGTTGGACTGAAATTGTCTTTTTTTGTGGTACTATAGGTCAAACCCAGAGCTTCACAATTCGCAGGCAAGTGTTACACCACTGAGCTATTACCCCTACCCTTTTAAAAAATCATTTATTTTGAGATAGGTTCTTGCTAAGCTGTCCAGTTTAGGCTTAAACTTTGTGATTCTCCTGCCTTAGCCTCTTGAATGGCTGGGATTATAGGCTTGCATTACCATACACAGCTGGAAATGGTCTTTCTTAATGCTTTTGGGCCCGTTTGGGCTGGAGTCCAGAAGCCCAGTGGTTGGACTGGTGCTTCCTTTTGATCATGGGCTGGCACTTGAGAGATTGGAAACTTCCTGAGCCCTTCCAAATGGCAGGTGATGGGAGACATAGTCCCTTTAGTAGAGAAGAAGGACATGGTGCTTTGTGTCATTTACTCAGGTGCTTTTCCTTATCTTGAAATGGAGAGAGAGTCTCTCTGTAACAGTGCCTATCCCCAAAGCTGCCTGACTTCCAGCTGCAATCTGACACCCGTGCAGGTAGCCTCACCCTTTCTGCTCCCCAGGCCTTGCTTTTGGTTCTGAGTGTGATAATGTCCCTTTTGCACACTTGCCTGCTCTACCACCCACCTTCCGTGGGACAAAGGACAGGGTCTCCCACTGTGTCTGATGGGAGCCTAGCAGGCCCTGAGATAGGCCTGGTTGTCACTCCCTGCTGGGCAGCAGAGCATCCAAGGCCTTGGTTGACCTGCCAGGAAGCAGTAGACGCAGACTGGGATTCAGACCTCTCTGTCTCCACAGTTTGAGGGTTGTTATGGCTCTAGATGTTCCCTTTTCCAAGCTTCATACATTTATAGGGGGCTTTTGGGAGATAACTGACTCATAGGTGTGTGATACTGGATCAGTCTACTGACGGGTTTGTAGCTAGGTGTGATGTTGGGAGGTGAAGCCTGGTGAAAGAGGTTGGTCACTGTGGGTGTGACCTGGAATGGTATATATCCCACCCCCTCCCTTGATGGCTGCTGCTGGCCACTGTCATGTCA